CAACAATTTTTAGTCTAAATGATGAGCTTAACAAGAAATTTAATTTACCTTTAAAAAAGGTATAATACAGTTTGAGATTACTTCGAAATTTCATTTTCTATTGACCACCGAATATCATAAATCCATGTGTAGTCATTCTACATTACCATACATAAAGTACCCTTAACGATGACTATCTGACAAAAACATTATATTACCACTATAAATTGGCGTCGAAATAAATGATTAGATGGACTTTATATTGTAATTTTTTAATAAATCATGAGACATCAATAAGACCAATCTCATTTTTACGATTCTATCAGCAACAGCCTACTGTAGGAGAGAACAAACCAGCTTCCATCTTAAGAGGAAATTAGGAAAAGACGTTGGAAGTAGATTGTACAGACATTGAGGAAACCATCAAACTGCATGACAAGACAAGAGCTAACTTGGAATCCTGAAAGGAAACGGAAAAGAGAAAGGCCAAAGAATACAATGCGTCGAGAACTGGAAGCAGACATGAAAAGGATGAATAGGAACTAGAAACAACTGGAAAGGATTATTTAGGACAGAGTTGGATGAAGAATGCTGGTGGGCGGCCTATGCTTCTCGAAAAGGGGTAACAGGCGTAAGTAAGTACTTTCACAATGACAACATCCGAATGAAAATTGACATCATTTCAAGAATTGTCCAAATTGTTAACTCGCTTCATTATGTCAGATTCAGAACAATTACCAAAGAAGGTTAATTGATAAAAATCCGTCTTAAACAGCTAAAATCAAACAACAAGAAGAGGTGAACTATAATTTTTCAGAAGTTGGTACTCTTCAACAAGATAAACTCTCAACCATATGTAAAAGAATGCTTGTCGATTGATTTGAGTTCCCATCAGCTGATATTATTTAAAGTTACCATCATGTTATTGTAGCACCTGCTATGAAAATTAAATATTTACACTGATTTGAATATTAACCAGTGTTATATTTGTTCAACTCTAAGTGATGATCAAATTCAATTGACCCGCATTATACAGTATAGCAGCACATGTACATTTGAATTTGTTCACATTTAATTTGGCTAAGCTCTTTTGTTAACTTATTTAACAGACAGAGTCATCCATACAATAACAAATTATCCTATACCATTGTATCTTTATTATTATTTCACTTGTATGAATATGTATGCTTGAGCATTGCTAACATGAAAAAAAGTTGAAATTATAACCCATATTATGTATATAAAAATAGTTTGAACAACAACAAAACAAACCCAGTAATTCTAATAATTCGAATAGAATAAAGATGGAAAAATAAGAAAAGATTATTTCATACATTATTTTGATTAATTTTACAGAATAGAAAATAATGACGATTTGATACGTACATGTATATAATAAATAATATGACTTATCAGATAGAAAAGAATACAGTCAATAAATATGTACTTTATTTACTTGAAGTTAGTAAAGTAGCATTGAATTAAATATTATAATTAAAAATAACACTAATCAACAATGATCAATTTAAATACTGATTGGTTCCTGAATAGAAATTTATATCAGATATATCCATTCCTTTAGTACTAATCGAATTCTATCGATTTGAATAGCTTGATGGTAGCATTAAAGATAATGAAGTTGGTTAATACTTATTCAAATTCATTAGAGAATATCAGTTTTGTAAAGATGATATGTACACCTTATTGACAAGTACTGTAATAACATGAAACTTAAGTTGAATAAGGATTTTCTTTCGATTAACTCATATCTGATATGAGGGGAAGAAAAGTCAATTTTCGATTGATTTACTCATTATGCGTTTTGTTCAACATTGATTCCGTTTTGATTCAATGTAATGATTACTCAATGTAGCATTTGTTTTCTTTTGTCGTATGATATTTTATTCTGTATAATATGCGATATTCTTATATTCCGTTGAAATGAACCATGCTCGGTATGTGATTTGTTATAACTCTAAGTATTTTTTCATATTTGCGATTGGATCGTAATTATTAATCAAAATGGCCATACAATCAATATATAAATGAGTGTATTTTCTACTACAATCGTCGTCATCGTGTTTTGGGGTTAATAAATCATCACTTATACCAGTCTTTGTGTTTTTACTTTCGCTTCGTGGAAATTGCAGAGGTCTGTCGTTCCGACTACAAGTGATAAGCGTTTCTGACATAACAATCAGTAACGGCCAGATACAAAAAGTAGTATTAAAAGAGCCAAGACAATCAGCATTCAAACGATAAGTTATAAAAATATCACCTAATGATTGACAATTTAACTAAATGTTATCTTATTTTCAAGCAAAAAGTCAAATTCTGTAGTTACAAATCACTGAGTCATTATTGTTATCATCACTTTATTCTAACCTATTATATTTGATTACAATAAAGTACTCACAGTATAAACTTGCTGTATTGAAATAAATTCCCTCTGAATATGCATTTATTCGACAGTATCCAAAATATAAAATTTAAATAAATTTTTAAAAGAGATTACTCACCAATGTTTTATGACTTATAATATCTTTTATTATCTGAAAATATAGTTCATACATGAATTCCAGCTTAATCATTATCCAATTTTCTCAAAACCTGCTTCGGTTTGGGCATCCGGACAGTATCACAGCCCTCACACATATCGAATGAGATTTGTGTGGCGCATATGTATTTGGTGCCTCTTTGTACCATTATCTATGTGTTGAAATAAATAAATAATAATAAATAATTTTCTCAAAATTGATAGAATTTACTTATCTTAATAACACTTGATATTTGAGAGTATCTATCATTCAGGAAATATTACTTATTTACATAAATACGTTTGTAAATACCCAGACAATACTTGTGTTGATATTTTTTCCAAGCAATAATTCATAAAAACAATCCTTATATATATATGACTGCAATTTATAGTTACTCTTAATAATCCATGATTGTCCAGATACATTAAATACTGGAGAATATTTTATTGTTTAGTACAGAACATGAATACAAGTTATCATTTATAAGATTTATGCTCAGCTGCACATTAATAACAAGACAAGTATGTAACTAATAAACTATTGTACTGTAATTTTAATTATTAATTGCAATGGCTGAAATCTTTTACTGAGGTTACATATGTATTTATTCTTTATTTTTACACTTATTATTCTTAGATCTCATGTATACTTTAAGATGCATGGTTTCAATGTTCAGTATATTTTTATTATTATTATCAGTAATACTAACCTAATTTCGATTTCTAGGATTTCCGTTAAAGTAATCTTCTCTCATTGCATTGGTATTTGATTTTGGCAACGTGTTCTGATGTATATTTGTGCTAGTTGCAACATTTATAATTGCCTGTTGTATTTTCAAACCATACCAAGAAGATTGGTATAATTAAAGAAGGTGAATTTTATACAAATAATTTAAAACGACCATAGTTTAGATATGACTTCCAATTGGACTATTAGCTCTAAATTTTCGTTGATGTAGACAAATTTTCGGGATTTACACTTTAGCTACTTTTAGAAATTACAATAGTATAAAAGCATAACAAAAAAGAAAAGCAGTGATCAAATGGTAATTAAGTACAGAATACTCTGACATCGCGTCATGGATACATTTGAAATGAAGGAAGTCTCATTTTCTGATGATGCTACCAAACTAATTCACCTCGTATAAAAATTAAATTTGTCATTTAATATAATATACCAAGTATATGTTGACTTCACTATGACGTCACTGTACTCAACTGTTTTAATAGTTTTACTTTAATATTTCTAAGTTCATTGTATTTGTAATTGGTTTCCGAATATAAATGTTAATCCTGATATAGAAGTTGATATGATAGAGTGAGACAATATAATGAGGGTTGTGTAGCACAATGTGCACAATGGTGATCTGCTGTGGACGTGTGACCGAGAACCTTCAGCTACGGTGTGTTCAGTGAAATTAATGAGGTTAGCATCAATGTCGAACACTTTCATAACTATTTATTTCGGGGATTTATTTACCGCTACGGACAAACTAATATACTTTCGGCTAGGGTTATTATGTTTTCAAATGCATAAATCTACACTTGTACCAGTCTTCTATGTTCATACTTCGCGTAGTGGTTCCTCGTTTTCAGGTAAAATAGGCGACGCAAATATGACAAGAATGATTGTTCAGAAAACTTCACAGTAATAATAAAGTTTAAAGGATAGCGTCGAGACGATTTTCCGGTGACATTTCTTAATTGACTACTAGTGGTTTGCGGGAATAATTCTAGATGTCACCTAGTTCCATTTAGGCTCTTTAGTAACTATTCAGAGCCATGTAGCTAAAGTATAACCCGTTCTTCCTCAGCGGTAGTAAACTAAAAATTAAGATACTTAGATTTTAACTAAAAGATTATAGGTTCAAATTCTGTGATTCACTTCGAATCATCGCCAAATGTTACCAACTCTTATACAAAATTGCTTAACTCAAGTATATATCTTCCCAAAACTCACAAGCAGCAGTTGAATGCAATACATGGCTCTAACCCTAGTGTGATCGTAGGTGTGCACTAAAGGGGAATCCTATACTAAAATGGAAAAGCTGTTCAGTACACTGTAATTTTCAATAGTAACACAACTAAGATAAATCTGTGACGAATACAATCCATATATTAAACCAATCTACACAAAACTTCAACTAAGTTATAATATTCAGATTGATAGTGACTTATTTCAACGTGTTAGCAGAGTTTAATTAAGACATCGTAAGTGGTTGAGTTTAAACATGTTGAAAGCGAAACAGTTGTCATTAATAGCAGTGAATAATCGTCACACTAACTCACAAAGTAATTGAATTTGAAATTATAACATTGGACCCCATATTACTAGTTCATTGCGAAAATTGAAGGTTCAACGTTAACTCCATAACGAGGTCTTCCGTGCTCATTCCTTAATAGTTTTATACTAGGATGAAATAGCTAGTCTAGTTTTTAATAATACCCCAACTGAGATCAATCTATAGAGAATCACAACTTATAAATTATTAATTTGTATATATTCCGTTTATTCATTTAAATGAATAAAACAAAAAAAGCGCCTATATGAGTTAATGAATTATAGATTAAGTAATAAATAACATAGAACTTCTTCTTAAAAATAATTTAAACAAAAATTATAAAACAATAAACAAATCACAAATAAATTAAGTCATGACTAGAATGACTACTGACAATTAAAATAAAGTAGTATTGGTAAAATAGATGAATTTTATCACCAATGTAAAATAATAAAAACAAAATTAATCAATTTTACAAACATATTTCACAAAGAGAAACAAAATATTATGAATAATGATAATAAAATTCAAAAAATAACAATTAAATATTTTCTTTTAATTCAATAGAAACTACAACATAGAAAACATAAAATGATCAACTTCAAATGAAATGCACAAACACACACACACACCACACAGACGGATACAATCATATATATTTATCATTATGAGTCTTATTACAATTATTGTGTATTATGCAATCTAAGATAAGCAAAAAAAAGTCAATAGGATTATAAATGCGTATATGAACTCAAAAGAATCTTGTGTAAGGAATATTGTTCATGATAATAACCAACCAACCAGCTTCATGATAATATGGTTGTAGCTCGTTCAGTTAAATGATGAAGAAGATTTTCAAAGCTAGAAAAAGAGAGAATAGAAAGCAACAAGAGTAACAAAAAAACTGTCAGATAGTACAAGAGGTTAAAGCATACTGATATATGTAAATTAAAACAACAGGTATATATTTATTCAATCTTTTGAATAATATGTTATATAGATATATTTTTCCGATTAATATCTGGATTAAAAGATATTTCAATGTTAAACAAGATGGTATGATTTAATCAAAACGAAAGTTTAACAACAATAGCATCTGCCCAAAGTGTGGATCAGTACTGAATAGTACGCTTCAAAATGGTACAATACAACAAAATCAACAAGACGAAATCATGCAATGTTAATCGTGGTAAAGATTTACCAATAAGAAATGTGGATCGGCGTAGAACATAGCATATATAATCAGTTCATGCCGACACACTATATCAACACTCAGATGAAACTATCAAGACAAACAGCAAGCAGAGCAGTACCATTATAATTAGGAGGAGGAGGAGGAGTAGTAGAAAAAGCTATGCATAAAAAGTACCACTCAAAAAGAATGAATGGATTCGCGTAACAATCTGAGCACCCGGCAGTATCACAGCCTACACACAAATCAAGTGACTTGTTTGTGGCGCATATGTATTCAGTACACCTTTGTACCAATATTTATGTTCAAATAAATAAAAAAGTTGGAAAGTAGTCTTAATATTCAAGATCTGAGAAAAGATAAAAATTAAGTGCATCTGAGCCACATCATACAACGTGTCCAACCACTATTACGATGATCGCGTGGGCTCCAACCATGTATTCTGCACCTACTTATATCAACAAACAATCGCTTGATGGAATGATGCCACTTTTCGGGTTGGTTGACTCTACTGTTTTTCTAACCAACACCTAAACAGCATTAGACATTACGTGTCAAGATAGGTGGTGACTGGGCATACATGATATAAGTTCCATCAGCTTCAGGCAATGGAAATTCACTACAACTGTATAACCTCTAAAAATAAAATTATCGGAAACAGAAATCCTCTTTATTAAAATATTTTTGTAAATTATATCTTGACTGGAATTATGAATTTAGTCTTAAACAAACATCTTATTTCCCTAGCTGTTAAAACACAGAAAATATTAAAAGAAAATTAATCAACTTACATCATTTTTATAGTTAAACGGTTTTTCCTATTTGGACGAAGTTTTTCAGGTGGTTCAGGCAACATAGGTCCTTCTACTTCTGGATCCTTTAAACTTGACAAAAAGTATGTTACAAAAAAGGTTAACCACTGAACCTTAAGAGGGTATACATTTTTCATGTAAACATGTATAAAACAATCCTGTTTTTGATGAGATACAGAAACACTATTCTACTTGATTGTTACCAATGTTGATGTTACAGAAATCCAGTTTGGTTTCATTTTGTAATAAAAAAGCCTATAACTTATTGGTCTAGATACAAAATTTCCAATTACGGGATAATACATTCCACCACTCGCTAACGTCAACACTGTTTCGTTTAAAGTGTCTTGAAAAATACTTCAGCAACTCCGAGCAAAACCTAACCCCCCACACACACATCTCCCCGTGGTTCCCTCGAAGACAGTGGAAAAAAGGATATTAGACTAATCACACACTTTATCGAAACACGGATTGATACTTACTCATGATACAAGCTATAAGGGTAAAAAACATCAAATATAGGAGAGGAAACCATCATAATCTCCCCGTGGAGTATCGATGCCTATGTGTATACTATCGGATGCATAGATCTTCGACTTATGTATTTTATTTTTGTGTGTAACTTATACTTTCAAAGCTAATAAGCAACAGGTAACCCTTCCCAGTAGCTAGTCCATACTTTAAAGGAGTAGATCCAGTAAAGTTAGTCACTTTCACCATAATGTATGACTGAAGGGGCACCTCACCAACCCCCATCCTAGGCTAGTATTTTAGACGCTATATTAGTCAAATTAATCCCTCTATGGTTATCATAGGATGATTTTGGCCCCTTCTTATATATTGGGACGATCAGTGACAGCGATCTGTCGGATGGGATTGGGTTCAGTTCCCAGATTTTAGCTCAAATATTAGTCAGCCTTATCGCTAAAACTGGACCACCATACTTCAAGACCTCTGAAGCCAATCCATCTGGACCAGCTGCTCTTCCTCGTTTTAGATTATCCATGGCTTTTTGGACTTCAATTAGAATCGAGGGGACTACTTCAATGTTGCATTCAGGGTGTTTGGAAATGGTGGGTGGTTGCAGAGTAGCTGAAAGCCAGCTGAACTACTCTTTAAAGTGTTCCGCCCATCGTTCTAAACGTCTGGACTGCGAGCAGATAAGAGTGCCATCTTCTTCCAAGACTGTTTCACTTACACTTGACTTCTTAATTCCAGTTTCTTTTATTAGTCTGAAAAGCTGTCTTGTTACCTACAGCCATCGCGTTTTCCATCTCTTTTGCTTTAGATGTCCACCACTGTTCATGGTCGTTCCTTAGACCTTTGCTTAACCTAGATCTGACTTGCTTTCTCTCATCATCGTGTTCAGAACCTGATGGGGTAAGTCTGCCAGAATTCATTAATGAGATAGACTTAGAAGAAATCCATTGGTTTCTTGTAACCCTTTGGTTTAAATCACTAATGGATATCGCTGCTGTTTGCATATCTCTCCAAGCAACATCTGGGTCAGCCTCGTTTTCAGAACTACCTAAGTGTGACCTCAGTTGTTCCTGGAATCTACTTTCGGCTTTCTCGTCACTCAGCTCAGTTCTAATGGGTCTTCTTAGTGTGACTTTTCTGCGTCCAGTGAGGTGCAAGCAAATGCGTACTCGTATCAGAGAATGATCAGGGTCCAAGCAGGTATTCCAGAATGAGCGACAATCTACTATCGACCCTCTTCAGCGACGACTGATGGCAATATGGTCTATCTGAGTCCATCGTCAATTTGATGCAGGGAATCGCCATGTTACATGAAGTCTCTCCGTATGTTCAAAATTAGTGTTTGCTAAAAATAAACGACTGTGTGAGCACAGTTGCAGCAGACGACCACCATTGGGTCGCCAGATACAAGGAGGGTGTATCTCGTCAAGTGAATGATCACACTATGATCCTGTTTTTGGAGACAGAATACATCAATGGTACGAGATTCTACGGTTTTAGCCAAGGAGACTTGTTGGCCGATTTGACATGGGTTGCATACGTTGGAGGCTCCAATGTGTGGTTTGGAGCGAGGTTTCAGAAGACCTGGGACAGTGTTTCGCGCACTAGAATCGTTGGGCATGGTGACACTTGGGGAGGAAGTCAAAAGAGGAAGTTAAGAGTTGAAAGTCGAGGTAGGAAGAATAATAGGAATTGGAGAGGCAAATTGATTATAAATACAGTGACAATGGATTAGATTAGCATAACATGTACAATCATTTAACAAAGTCACGAGGAAGTGATTAGCCATTTCTTTCTAGTTTGAAGTCCTTTAGCAGTGCATGCTCATGACCAAACATGTGGTTGGATTCAAGACTCTCTGGCTTAGCCTGAAGCTTCAATCGACGGACAATACAGCACAACCCAATCAGTAACGACCGTGTCTATCCCAGCATGGTTAACTTCGTATCGATCAATGGATTTTTAGTCGAACTCAACTCCGATGTTTATAATCTCAGACCGGAGAATTTCCGAAATTAGCTCTCTAAGCTAGTCACTAATACGCACATGATGGTTGTCAATATACTGGGTATTGTGGGAACAATTAACTAACTCTCTCCCTCACTGGATTTCAATAACTGTATAAGTGATGTTGGTTTGTGATTAAACCTACCCCCCTTCCTTAACAATAACAATAAAAGTAGTAAAATGATAAAAAAGGACAAAACATACTTTTCTAACTCTAACAGTCTCAATTCTTCTTCTAATTCAATTAGTCGACATTTAAGTTCATTTCGTTCATGTAGCAGATAACGTAATTCTTCTACAGAGATATATTTATTAGTAGTATTTGATTCTTGTTCAAAATTAATTGATTCTAAACCTTGTCCAGCAGGTAGTTGTAGTATTGATTCACATGTATTCGACTTGATGTTTTGAACAAAAAAAATTAAATATAAAGAAGAAACAATAATTGACAGTGTGTAGAAGAAAATTATTAACAATTTGTGGGTTGTATTCTTCATACCCGTTGATCTCATTTGAGACACTACTAAAAACTAAGGATCAATCTGTGATAATCTACAGCACACAAATCAATCTCCATAAAACTTTCCACTCAACTATAAAAGTCGCCTCATTGGTAACTTGCTTCAATATGTTCCTGAATTCTGACTGAGAAGTCGTGACTGGTGGAGTTCAAACATGTCGTGAGTTAAACAGTTTTAAACAGTGATATCGAATTATCACTGTGCTATCGTTTGAATTGCTTGAAATCGCAGCGGTAACATTAGGTACTAACATGTTGTTTGTAAGTTTTTCCCCCAGACCTGGATAACCTGGGGCCATGAGTGTGCAGAGTCCAATACTAGGACGAGACAGATGTTCGGTGCTCCTTGGTTTCCAATAATACCCCAAATGAGGTCAATCTGTGATGAAAACAACTCACAAACTAAACTGTTATCCCCATATCCACTCAAGATGAATACCAAAGGGTTCGAAATAATTGTAGCAGCAATAATAATTATAAAAACGAACCATTGAAAATATGATTTAAGAAGACGGAATCAACAGCTATACATGAAAGAATACTGGAACTTAAAATCTATAGAATGACAAAGAATGAATGCATCTGGATCGCTGGGACCAATGTTAAGCCATGTCACGTCTCCACTCCAACCACTGACCGTGGTTATCACGCTGACCTCAACGAGGTAGTCTGTACCTAGTAACGTAACTAAGGCCACCAGCCAATGATTTCGTGGACTGATGCTATATTAGGATTTGGCTGCCCTTAAGCTTATATCCAAGTTATTCGTACTTTATCCATCACTCGACGTTGAGGTAGGCAGTGGTTTGTCATACATAACAGATGTTCTAAAAACCTTAATCGATTGCTAAATATACTAACTATAAAACTCAATGACTTGAGTTTAGATGAAAAGCGTCTTGAAAACAGTTTTAAATCTAGTAATGAAATTTCTCAGGTACAACTTTAGAAAAGTGTTTACTTTTCGTTCTTGAAAGTAACCAAGCCACATATATAATTATTACTGTTGATACATCAATATTTTTTACCAAGTCCTGAATATTAACAACATGAAACAATCCAAACTGTGAACGATAATAATAATAATAATAACAATAATAATAATAGTTATATTTTTAAGGCTATCAGTCACGTAAATTATGAAGCTAAAATATTTTTGAATACGTGTTAGGTTGTTAGAGATACTGAATAAGAAACGCTTCTTGACCAAGATTTCAAACCAGTTAAGACCCAATATTAAGGGAACTGATGCTCACCAGTGAACTCAAATCTCGATTATCGAGTATCATAACCCAAGACGCTATTCAAGCAGCGACCAACCTCTTATAAGACTGGGATATTTACACTAACTTATCACTGAGTAGTGTCCAACGTCAATAAATTCTACCTATGCACAAAATACAGTAATGATTAGCCAATGATGTAAACAATCAAATTATGTAACTTAAAGCTAATATTACCATTATTCCAGATTGGTCATTATGTAGCGTATCGTTATTTGATAAATCTTTCAGTAAATTAGCCAATTCTCGTTCTTTTACACATAACTGTGTTTCAAGTGTGGCTTTTTCTGACACCAATTGACCAGTTTGACGTCTATGAGGGGCACAAGATGCCAATAATTGACCGCTTTGACGAGCTAAACGACAAACTTCTTCTTCCGACTTTAAAGAAAAAATAAAGCCGACCAAAAGATACAGCAACAAAATAAGTTCAATATTTCAATGAACATCTACGTTATCAATTATTATACATTAATTCTTTTCAAAAATCACAAACTATCCCCTTCTGTTTTAAATCAAAAGACTCATTTAACTGTGAAAGATAGTTTACTATCTTATCTGAACTTTCTATTTGATTTCGAAGAGTTTTTGAAAAACTCAAAGTGGTTACGACCCAGCTATAGGTTACGCTAGACAATGGTAGAGATTTGTAGTTCAGATGCATGATTTTGGTGGAGTTTCGTCCTCTGAGTTAGATTGTTTAGTCGTGAAAATATGCTTATTCCTCTAAACAACACCATCAATACAAATGCTAGGGACAAGTGGGATATTCAGATTTCTCCACAAATGACTGACAGTTTGTCCAGTTGACTTTGATCTTAATTGGTTATTTTTAACCTTTAACCTATTGTTTTCTACATATTCATTTTGTCTATCTCCTTCCTTTGACCTGATTATTGATTTTGTATTCATCTATGGTTTTTCTAATACCACTTGTTATATCCTAGTGAAGATTAAATTAAGTGTAACTTCTGAGGACTACTAATGGATCAATATTATATATATTCTTATTGTATAACTATTCAGTGATCAGACGATATATATCTATACTCCTCTCATTACAAGCTTTATTTTGATCTATAGACTATTATGATACGCTTTACTGTTCTTAAATTCTACTCAGTTTACTGATTACAGTCTACCACGTTAACAGCCACATTTTGCCTTGATCTTGTATAAATGTTATTTCCTATTTTACAGTGTGATACAGTCTGTTTGACTAATATATAAACTAAGTATGTTTGAAATGAATGATTCGCATAACGGAATGTGTTATGAGCGTTATGGACTCAACTGGAACGGCTAGGAGAACAGAAGACCAATAATAAGGCTAAGCTGCCCATACCGGTTGAACGTCATTGGTTCGGAACAGTATTAAGATTGTAAAAGTCGCGTTTCGATTGGCGAATAAATCACGTGATAATTAGCCGAGCTTAAAGTCACAACACTACTACTATCCAACAAGTTAAATATAACACCTACAATACATCGGAATCATAAACCAGCCTGAACCAAACAACCATTAAATACCTGAAATCATTAGGCGGCCGTTTCGTTCGAGTATGGGACTCCTAAGCAGTGCGCATCCACGACCCCATGACCGGGATTCGTAGATTGGTTGAAATTAGACTTGCACACCATTGGATCCGGGCTCAGTCGCATAGAGCTTAGGCGTCCGCAAGTGAGACAGAAGGTCCTATGTTTTATCCCCGGTTACGAGGTTTTGAATGCGCACTGCTGGGAAGTACCATGCTAGGATGAAACGACCGTTCAGTGCTTTAAGGTTTTCAGTCATTGTCTGATTTATGTAGGTTCGTTATTCCAGTGAAACTCAACAATCTTTATGACTTATACTGACCTACAACAAATTTCATGGAAATTCAACAAAAGAATGAGGTTTTACTAATAATGGCATCATATGGTTGCTATAATCACATAAAATCATTATTTTTCATTACTAAATGAATGCATTGCAATGGACTACGTTCACGATTAAATGTGAACCAGCAAACAGCATCTAAGTAAACGGAGTTTTAGTGTTCTACCGATTGAGTTAGGAGATGTTGATATCAATTCAGTCAATTCTAATTTAGCTTAGTGTAATTTGATACGATAAATAACTGAATTATGACGAAATTTCAAACTATACATTGATTATACAGTAAACGTATGGCTACAATTCACTCAATATAGAATACTACACATTAATAATGTAGTGTTCCTGGGAACAGCAATTTAACAAAGAATTATTATTATTGTTTTATAGTGTGAAAAAAACGGCTGAATATATTATGGTCATCATGCAACAATGAACATAATAAACGACAGGTTTATCAAAAAAATGTACTTTTTTTGTAAAGAATCCCAACTTTGTAGTAGTGACTTTGTGACCAATAACTCTTTCGTCTAAAGACTAATGAACATAAAGGCCAACTATTTTACTTTAAGTGTGTTGAGTTGGTCAGTAATAATGCAGCAGATTTAGTAAAGTGAATCGAACAAATTTGTCACACCTTATATTAGAATATGAAAGAAAATCGGCAAAACGGAAATTGATTTGATCGAAATAATGATATGAATGTCAACTGCGGTGGAAAAAAAGTCTGAAGATGAGAAATCTATTCCCTAAGGTCTCAACTAGCAGATCCAAAGAACAGATAATTTGTACCTCTATTTTTCCACTCTAATTCGTACGAGTCAGTTCTGTACATTAAAGTAAACAGTAGTTAAATTTGTGTAACACAGAACTTAACACCATTAAATCTCCTAAGAGTAACACTACTAAATGAACGATAATATTTAAAACAAAAAAATATAAACTGAAACCATTTTAACGAGAAAGTCAAAAAAAAATGATCACAACGATGTGGATCAAAGAAAACACTGGAGCAATAACTATAGGTACGAAGAGAAAAAAATAATAATAAAGAATAGGATCATCTATTTAAATACACTTACTGCATCTAATGAAGCGCCAACTTCAGTTAACTCACGACGAATTTGTCGTGCAGTTTTGTAATTAATTGCTACACATTCTTTTAGTTGTTGAACTAATTGAAGATCAGCTGCACGATCTATAAAAAAGAAATCAAATACTAACTGTAATATGTCTATTATAAACTTTTAAATAAGCCATTTCTATTACATTTATTACATTTATATAGAACATAATGTTTAATAACTTCAGACAATTCAATAACCCAGTATCAGTGTATGATTTATTTTCCCTAACAGTATAGTTAGTAATACTATCTAATTATAAGGACTGAATTTTAGTATTAAAAAAACTGTAGTCAAAACAAATAATATTTGGACTTTAATAATTTATCTGAATTATAAGCTATTAATTTCAATGGTTGAGATCATAAGTCAATTTAAGCTAGATCACCATGGAAAATCTGGAAGCACTGGACGGCTGTTTTTCTTCCTATTGACTCACGATCTCAACCATAGGAATTACTATAATCTTCACAAAAATCCCTTCTGATATAAATTATTAATTAATTAATACAAAATTATGAAGTAGATATAATAATTTGAAAGATGAGAGTAAGACGTACATACCGAATATTAATAGGAATTGAAGACAAATAAATAATTATAAAAAAATAGTCATACTTATAAGAAAAATACAGTTTTAATTAACTGGCAACTAATTAAAAGATGACTCGTAATAGTATGGAAATGCGCTGAAAGCAACCACGAATGGACTACAGTCAAATCTAAACTAATCAGGAGACAGGTTATACAAATTGATATTTTATGGGTAAATAATAATAGTACACAGTGTGAGGACGGATTTTATATAACTAATGAAGCTATGAAAGTCTTCTACAGATTAATCTGCCTACAAATCGGAAAAACAATGGTATATAAATTTGTCCATACAGTCACTAACTTCTGATCTGAGCTATGTTGGTAGATGCAAACTACTTCGTTGAAGTCCATGGGACTATCGTAACCAATGGTTGGAGACTCTCAGTGGCATAGCTCAGAATCGATCACAATGGCGTAGGTGTATACACTCTTTGTCTTCCCTTAAACTGAGATTAAAATTACTATATGCCTTTCTTCCTACGAACTAATTCTTTCTCCCTGTATTATATCCTTACATGCAACTTTTCTTTTATATATTACTATCATTGAAGTAACTGCTTTTATGAATTTGGTGGTCATCTCTTTATACTAATCAAGTATGACAACTTAACACCGATGCATATATGTGCCTGGTCCTACGTCGTAGATGACTGACTTGTTTTTAAGGATTAAGATTATTCATCGTCCAAACTCAAATAGATTTCGAAAAGTTCTCACATTATTTTTGGTTAGGGTTAGATATTCAAGGTTATGATTAGGGTTTTCATTGCGAACTAACATCAGCTATAAAACTGCTTTGTAACTATATGAATGAATGAATTCCAAGCAAAAATCCATAAGGGGTAATCCTAAACCCAACTAGTTTACCTATAAACCATAATGTCATCAGCTCAAGTTTTGTTTCAGGACTAAGGGTTATAATTTAGGAATAATGCTAATTTGCCTATTACATAAAATCCACATGGAAGGAATTGAGCGCTCTATATGTTTAACATCATCATTTTTGTCTTATAATGACATAATCTAGTTTTTCGTTTTTAATTTAAGAGTTATTTTTACTGCTCACTTTGCGTAATTCTTGAGTTTTGAGAAAAAACTCGTCCTTTTGTTCCCGATATATATATATATATATATATATATATATATATATATATATATATATATCAACCGATGATTTGAAAACATTTTGTCACATCAGATTAGTAAATATATTTAGAATATAATCTTTGAATTCATTAATTACTACAATTTGCAAATCCTTAGAACTTCGTTCAACTGATATGAATTGGCGAAATTTGATAGTCCACAAAAATAGTCGAGAAAAAAGAACAGAACACAAAAGAATGTTTCTTCTCGAAGTCAAATTAGTTATTTTAAGAGCTCAATTTTTTTCTTGTAGTTACGTCACGCTTTGCCTTACTGAATATCAAACCATTGTTTCAAATATCATGGTTGAAATTAAATCATATGAAAGTAATATGATCGAAAGTTCAGTAAAACAAAATCTAGAGACTTGTCAAAATGTACACTAAGAATTGTAGTTTTATGATTAGGAGTAATAAACATAATACATGATACTCTATAGAAATATACTTGAATCAGCATGACTTATTACATGATTAAAACTCTAGAAATCTCCTTATAAAGACAGTCCTATTGTAAATAGCAAGCTATCAGAGTTACTAACTTGGATCACTTTTTACTGGTAATAACTAATTTTGTGGAGAGAATCCTTAATTCCTCATACACGTTTTGCTTAATCGAAAGATCGACTTTAAGCCATAATTTAGAGTTTAGTAAAAAAGGACCATCTTATTCCCGGTTAAATTACTGTTTTCTATAAATCATATATTCAATTATCTAACCGACTGAAAATAAAAAAACTTACTTTCTTGTTCAGTTAACTGTATTCTTTCTTCCGTCTCCAATAGCAAACTAGACATCATATCAGATAATTCCTCCTCACTAGGTTTGTTTTTTAATTTGTCATAAATTCTGTCCGTGTCAAGATTGGCTGAAACACCTTTAAGACCCAACTTTGCAGTGGCTAATAAAAAAGCACCTACTTTTGACTGTTGAGATGTTGGACATATAATATCTGATTCATCACACATTACGCAATTTTGTAAGATATTGGAATCTTCCTGTTCTCTGACCTCTTTATGACAAGAAGAAATTAAATGATGTGTTAGACGAACATTTTCTTGTTCTAATTCAGCAATTTCTTGCAATAACTTTTGACTTTCACAATACCAACTTTGTTCAAGCTGTTCTAAACTCTACAATTACGGGAAAATGTGATTTTTAAAGACCAAATAATTCTGAGAAACATTTGTTTGGTTTATTTTTTATGGTATATTAACTAGAAAGGAGACCCGAGGACAGAGCTGCCTGGAGAATTCTGATCGAAACCCTATGCTCCAAGAAGGGTAAAGGGAGTAAGCAATATTAATTGCTTATTATTAAATTAGTTCAACGTTTTTATGATATTAGCTTTTTAAGTACTGATGCTAGGCCTTCAGTATTCAAAGCTGATCGGTGATTCAGTGGTAATGATGGTAGACTTTCAGTCACTCAGTCCCAGGTTCAAACCCAGCTCCAAATAACTTAGTTTATCTAAATCGATAGTTTCACTATTCCTCATATATAGGGTATGGATTCAAGCTAAATACATGAATCTGTACGTAGCAAATGGAAATTAAGAAATAACAAAGTACGAATACATTTTTAAAAAGTGCCAGTCAATTTCCTTGATAATCAAAGCTAATTAGAAACTCAGATGAAACTTTTTCGAGATGGATAAAGCAACAATAAGTGTTGATCTATAAGTCTGAGAACCCATAATAGCATTGAAAGACTTACATTTGGATGATAGTAAAAGCGTTAATTTTTATCAAATATTCCAGAAGTATGTTGGTAAACACCACAGAGATACACAAAATTCGTTTAAAGCTTACTAATTACTACCGAAATGTAGGTAGCAATAAAAACTAGCATACGGAATCGAAAAATAACAATTTCACTAACATAAAACTTCTAACGGCATCATTATATTATCACAACCAAATATAAACCTTTCTAATGATTAAGTGAGTAGTCTACACAAAAAATGACTTCTTCAAAATTGATATTAACTTCATTTTTTATACATCCGGAACAAAATGTAAAATCAATAGGATGAAAAAATACTTCCATGTACTTTTATCGACAAAACAAGTGAATAATAAAAAAGTACAAATACCTAAAGTAAGTAAACAAGTGGTTAAATACATCTACATGAACTACATTATAACAAACCAGATATCTAGTAACTGGAACTGACTTTATCATATTTATCTTTAAGTACAATGTCAGATTTCTGATCTTGACGAAGTTCATCTGCAACTGTTTGAAGGCGTGCAATTTCTTCCTTCTCTTTATCACAATAACTGGTACAAGCTTCTAATTCTTCCAAAATATAGACAATTTTCGGCATTAAATCTCTTAATACATCATCACCATATTCATCAACAATTAACTGACATTCACGACCGATTGATAAGGCTGCATCATATACATCCATTGTAGTAAACATCGTTTATTGGTTTTGAGTCAATCTAAAGTTCTAAACAGTGATATAAACAACAAACTATATTAATTAAAAGCCATAAACAAAGTAGAGTAAGAGCTTTCGATCAGATATAATTTCACATTTAAAATAAGTATCTATTATGAGAAATTATTTACTTACAGAAACGTGTCTAGTGCTTGTCCAATATATTCAGTATACTATATAGAGTAAGTAACTAGTTTATTGAATGTGTTCAAGCGCTTTTAAACAAACATTAGACAACTATAGATTTAGTGTCTTTTACAATACACATACAACTAAAACAAATTAACCTAGTGTTCAAAAAAATGTCCCTTCATCAGAATATTTCTATTAACTTACCATTAACCGATCCTCACCTCTAATCTCAAAAAACAATCTGATTATAGACCCATTTAGATGAATACATCCTGTTTTTTAAGACAATGCGCATGCTTTACTCAGGTTAGTTAATGTGAATTCATAAGATCACCGACTGACTAAACACATTTACTTAGAATTAAACACAACGTTATATTGTTAACTCAGTAGTTCCATTAAAGGCCAGCGACACTTTGCACGCACCTATTTTTGTATACTATTAACATAAATGTCTTCTGCTCTTTGTGATTATGATCCACACCTACAGTATAATATAAAGTAACAGCATATTACTTATTTATTTTTTAAAAAAACATTGGTACCAAAATATATATGAGCCACAAAAATTAGCTATCTTTAAGTTAGTTTGTGGGCTAGAATACTCCCTGAGTGCACAAACCAAAATTGGTTTTCTTGAGTGGCCACTCACCGAGTCTTTGACCTAGAGATCCAATCCATAAGACAGTAGAGCAACATTAAGGTAGTCACATGGTATCCGATGACCAAGAATAGGTCCACATACCATTGCTCCCTCAAGATCCTGAGGCGCATTTGCACCACTGGTTTGGAATCAGGGGTTTTCGGCTCACTTAGGTGGATTTTCCGTACCTATTAACCCGGTTTAAGCGCCGGAAATTCACTTTTCGTCCTACAAATTTCGTAAACAACAAACTTAACACGAGAAGTCAGTTAGTAGGATTTCCCTAGCCATGTTTGTGAAAACCTACTGAAAAACCAACCGGTTTTAGTTTCCACTACTTTTGATTTACTAATTCTAAGAATTATTTTCAATAGCATGTTTATACAACTAAATCAAAAACCCAGTCAAATAAGTAGAGCACACAAAAATAGGACCATTCGGAGAATATTTTATACTTGAAAAAAGAAAGCCAATGACAAACACGACAGTCTAACTAGTTTGAAAGTTTTTGTACTCGTCGTTGAGCCAAACTTGAGTATTGGGAGCGAGTGATCCTGCACGGCTCTATACATCGATATGAGTGTTATTTTGTCATGATATGAACTAACTAACAGTAGTAAATCTTCACCGCAAAATCAGAACCTCATTAAATTAGAAGTTACAATTCAAGTTTTACAAGTACTGGATTACTTGATATTTCTTCAAACACTAAATTTGATGGTTGCATTTAGTGCAAGTGTCGTACTTATCAAAAATTGGAAGCACCGCGTTCCCAGACTTATAGAATGTAGGTCAGAAATCAAAAGAAGTTCATTACAAACAACTTGATTTGCCACAGGTGAGTTCAAGACGTGAGACGCTAAATATGAAATCACGAGTAGCACGGTATACTTAATAATAAGATGAATGATGAGTCTCACCCTACATAATGGATGGCATTGGAATTATGATCGACTGCACAAACATATTGAATAAGTAGGTGCTTTTTGACACATCTCTTATACCACAAGAGAAACACGGAAAGCATTCTTCCGATGATATTAGGCAGAATGGAAATAGATAGTTCACATACTAGATAATTTGTAAACTCATAATTCAAGAACCCTATTGTGGCTTGCAGACACAACTTTCCAATACCTTAAAATAGTCACAAATTTTAGGAACTTTTGCAGTTACTTATATTTCGCATAAACCGAGTTACAACATTTCTAGTCGAAATGTTTGTTGAAATTTTGAGTCCGCGAAAATTTCGTAAGTTGATAAAATACTTAGGGTTCGGAAATGTTTTTCTTTAGTTGGGAGGCAGTCAATGACTCTTTGATTTTAGAAAACATTATTGTACACGATTATGTAAACAATTGTTTACGTAGTGTTTGCACAATCAAGTGTACAATCATGGATCATTGTCACAAAGACAACATTCAGATATTGGTAGTTTTACGCTTAGTTTAAATGTACCATGTGTGCTGGAGAGTGTGACGAACAGTGAGTGAGATATTATTATCTGGAACAGAAATCTCTGTTCGTGTTCTTTAAAGAACAACACAAAAACATGAGCCGTCAAATCAGAAGGCACACAAAATGGACTTGCACTTAGACAGCGAAAGAAATTAACGATGGTCAGAAATAACACGAGAGTGATATTAAGACAATCTGATATTCAAAACACTAGGTTAACAGTGTATGGTTTCGAAAGAATCCCAAAATTTCATTAGGACTTGTAGCGGTAAATAAATCCCCAAACTAAATAGCTCAATAGGTTTTCGACATTGGATGCTGACCATATGTTTTAGTGGACTCATCTAGCTGAAGGCGCTCGGTCAGGCATCCGGACCAGATCACGTGCTGTCACGCTGTGCTCAACAACAACCGCAATCACTAGCCAGATTAGATCAGAGATTCCCGATATATTGGTTATCGCCAAATACACTCTTCCGATCTCCTCGACTCTGTCTTTTGATTTCTCTTGGTGGGAACAAAGCATATTAGAAGGTGTTATTGGTAGAAGCGTTGTCAAACACTGAATACCTGTATCATCCTCATTGGTGAGACCGACGTGATCTGGTACACCTAACTGCAACTGTGAGTCTGTTCCTTTTTGGGATTTTTATATATTATTACCTTTTTTTTAAGCATTGTGATTTTTTTTTTCGTGTTTTTCCTGGGATATATATATATATTTTTCCCTCGTTCGTTATCGTACTTCATATTTTCATCATGGCTGAACAGACACCCAAAGTACTCAACCTTAAGACTTTGTCCCCGCCTTCGTTTCAACTCATGCCTTTCTGGCCCGACAATATCGAAGCCTGGTTCTGCTACGCAGAAGCTGATTTCTCCGAGCACGGCGTGATCGACACACGTGCACAACGATTGGCGTCCGACTGGTGACTATCGGCGATTGAATGCAAAAACCATTCCCGATCGTTACCCGTTGCCTCACATTCACGATTTGACAGCTACCTTGAAAGGTACAACTGTCTTTTCAAAAATCGACTTGGTTAAAGCGTATAACCAAATTCCCATGGCCACTGACGACATACCGAAAACAGCTATCATAACTCCTTTCGGACTCTATGAATTTTTGCGAATGCCGTTCGGTCTAAGAAACGCTGCGCAAACATTCCAAAGATTCATTGACGACGTCTTTCGAGGTCTCAACTTCGTACATGCGTATGTTGATGACTGCTTAATCGCAAGTCCGGACAGAGAATCACATCTCAAGCATCTGGATCTTGTTTTCGAACGATTACAAAAACATGGCATTACTGTAAACGTTCAGAAATGCCAATTCGGAACCGATTCGTTAGATTTCCTAGGACACACTATCGATGCTCAAGGCATTCGACCTCTTAGGACCAAAGTGGCGGCCATTCTGGATTACCCAGAACCGACCAACGTCAAGCAATTACGCACGTTTAACGGCCTGGTAAGTTTCTATAGACGCTTCATACCGAAATGCGCATTACTTATGAAACCTCTTACTGACCAACTTCGTGGAAATGCGAAATCCATTAATTTGGACGACACCGCACGAAAAGCATTCTCCACAGTTAAGGAACTGATCGCTAAAGCAACAATGCTCGCACATCAGGACACTAAAGCACCCATTAGTATCGCAGTAGACGCATCCGACTCGGCAATCGGAGGAGTCTTACAACAATGGATTAACAACTCCTGGCAACCCTTGGCATTTTTTTTCTAGACGGTTGTTAGACACCGAATCGAGATACAGCACATTCGGTAGGGAACTCCTAGCTATGTATTGTGCTGTACGGCATTTTCAACACTATATCGAAGGCCGCGAATTCACTCTATTCACTGACCATAAACCGCTCACTTTCTCGTTAAGCTCTCCTTCTGACAAGTACTCTCCCCGTGAGTCTCGACAACTGGACTACATTTCGCAGTTTACTTCAGATATTCAACATATTTCTGGAGCAAACAATGTAGTTGCAGACGCCTTGTCTCGAATAAACTCCTTGAACAGTTTCCAAGGAATCGACCTTCTTAAACTCTCCCAGCTTCAAAAAGAAGACACTGATCTTCAGCAAGAGTTATCGTCCACAACCCTTAAACTACGCATCAAACAGATGGGAACAGGTAAGGAAACCTTACTTTGTGACACATCTACAGGAAGGGATCGCCCAATCGTCCCGAAACATTATCGACGCAATGTCTTCAACACATTGCACAAACTTTCTCATCCAGGTGTTCGTGCAACCATCAAGCTCATAGCAGAACGCTTTTGCTGGCCTGGTATGAATAAAGACGTGAGGGAGTGGGCACGCTCCTGTGTAAGCTGCCAAAAATCTAAGGTCATCAGACACAATAAATGTCCCTTAGGCTCATTTAAAACTCCCGATGCTCGTTTCGACCATGTTCATCTGGATTTGGTAGGACCTTTACCAGATTCAAATGGATACTCTTACCTCTTAACCTGTGTAGATCGTTTCACTCGATGGCCAGAAGCAGTACCTATCAAGGACATCACTGCTGAAACAGTGGCCCGAACCTTCGTCGAACGATGGGTAGCAAACTTCGGTTGCCCTTCAACCATCACTACAGACCGCGGACGTCAGTTTGAGTCTGAACTTTTCCATCGTCTGACCACACTATTAGGAAGCACTCGCTTCCGAACGACCGCCTACCACCCACAAGCAAACGGGTTGGTAGAACGCTTTCACCGACAACTAAAAGCTTCACTATCAGCTGCAAACGTTTCACAGTGGACCGACGCTCTTCCACTCGTCTTACTAGGTATCCGCAATGCAGTGAAAGCTGACATTGGATACACTGCGGCTCAACTCGTTTATGGAACGACACTTCGACTTCCAGGAGAATTCGTGGATCCTTCATCCTCTTCATTGAGCATGGATCTAACCTCTTACACGAACAGGCTTACAAACGCAATGCGTTCAGTTAAACCTGCTTCCACTCGACCTCAATCAACTGATGTTTTCATTCAACCTGAGTTACGATATAGTACACACGTTTTCGTTCGTCGAGACTCGCATCGACGACCTTTCGAATCAGCATACGAAGGACCTTTCAAAGTTCTTCAACGCGAACCGAAGTACTATATAATCGATAAGAACGGAACCAACGATAGCATCAGCATCGATCGCCTCAAAGCAGCGTATTTAGAAGGAAATCCTATCTACGTGGATTTTCCTTCGGTACAATTGAACGACACGACTCCGACACTTATAATACCTCATCCGACAACCAACACTCATGATGATACTTCGACAGTATCCGAAAATAAACTTAAAACGACGCGTTCTGGAAGAAGAGTGAGATTTCCAGAACATTTAAATGACTATTGCACGTAAGGCACTTCTCGACATTTTCTATATTATTTAAAAAATAATTTTTTTTTAAAAATAGGTTTATATATTTTCATTTCTATTTTTAAAAACAAAAACAAAAAAAAAAACGATTTTACGAGTTTATTTTCCTTTTTTTACGCACATACGAGTGTATTTTCGACATGCACTTACATTTTCTTTCTTCTTTTCCAGGACGGCTGGAAAAGAACGATGACGTTTATGAGGATACGAAATTTTCATTGTACATTTCTTTTTTTACTATGTTGTACTCCGGTCCCATATAGTAAGGAAAGACGACCAGACGCTGCTAAATTTAGTAAGCTATCAGAAGAGTGTTTACCAACGACAAACTCGTTGGGTTTAAACTTCTGGCTGGCCACGTCTTAGGGTCATCACTGCCCCACTAGGGGGGGAGTGATCTGTAGCGGTAAATAAATCCCCAAACTAAATAGCTCAATAGGTTTTCGACATTGGATGCTGACCATATGTTTTAGTGGACTCATCTAGCTGAAGGCGCTCGGTCAGGCATCCGGACCAGATCACGTGCTGTCACGCTGTGCTCAACAACAACCGCAATCACTAGCCAGATTAGATCAGAGATTCCCGATATATTGGTTATCGCCAAATACACTCTTCCGATCTCCTCGACTCTGTCTTTTGATTTCTCTTGGTGGGAACAAAGCATATTAGAAGGTGTTATTGGTAGAAGCGTTGTCAAACACTGAATACCTGTATCATCCTCAGACTCAAGGTCAATGGTGCAAACATTATTGACTTACCAGAGCAGTTAAAGTGTTCTTAGGAAGTACATAGCATGAACAGTATCTGAAGTTACTAGGCATCCTACAGAATATTATTACTTATTATCGATTTCCATAGTTTGAATTCTTCAAATGCTTCAAATAAGCTTTCTCTTACCGAGCAGTATCAGTAAATCCTAGATACATTTAAGGAGGTACGTAAGCAAACAAAATAAGCCAAAGAGCAAAAAGCGTCTGTAGATTATTGTGGTATGCTGCTCCCATCCTATAAAGATGCATATTACAGTTTCCTCTTATACGATTTCAAGGGAGTTGCTTTGATTAATTTATCCGAGAGTGGATTCCGAGACTTGGTTGCACTCAAGGAATAGATGGTTCGCCCATAGTTGAAGAACTGTCTTGTACTCATTTCATCAGCGTTCATTGATCAAAGTTTGTTAGAAAGTTAAATTATGTAAATATTATCGCGAATCTCCAAAATTTACAGAATGCTGTATGTCACAATCTAGGGATTGGAGGTTACTGAATTTGGCTGTCTTAGGACTGTTATCACTTACACAACGTCGTGTAAACTTAAAACCAACACAAATAGCAAACGGATTTCGCGGACCTAGGATGTCAAGACTTTTAGTGCGACAAGACAGGTAGCACACAGTTGGCACATAGCGCCAGGAATTCCTAGATATTTTGGCTGTGAAGCAAATCGGGACGTAGATAACTACACTGTGATACTATTGTGTGTCACTAGAACCTAACAAATAGGCAAGAGGTACTTGGAGTTTGACAACACCTTCACATGTTACAGTTTCATAATACAATCATATCAATTCAGTTAAATTAAAAGACAGAAATGAAGGAGTTCACAGATATATTTCGAAGGCTGTCGATATATCGAAAAGCATTTGGTTTGGGCTGGCCAACAGTTGGAAGCGATGAATAGCACGGCTTACTCAGTCGTGATCTGGCAAGGATTCCTGACTGAGTGCCTTCAGCTAGGAAGTGTTTATTTAACTTAATTAGGTCAGCATCAATGTCTAAGACTCACGGAACTATACTATATACACCACTTTATCAACATTGTTTTCCGGTTATAAACAATGCGTCGTCTGGAGATCTCAACAATCTACATGTGTACATGTATTTCCATCACCAGAGCGTTAGTAATAATCGCTACGAGGCGCTAATATATTATGTAAAACTAATAGTCTACATCCATTCCATCTCGTTGAAAATGATGTGACGGCCAAAATTGCGTGACCATAATTCAAAATCACACAACGATATATTCAACCTAACCAGGTGGTTAGGTTGATAGGCTTTTTGAATGTTCTTAAAAAAATGAATGATATCTTACCTGAAGGAATGTACGTTTGAAATAACGACGAAGTATAATTCTCGTTACTGAAGCGTCCAAACTCAAGTAAAAAAGGAATGTAGTCAACTACTGATTACTACCAGACTAGTAAAAATAATGCGGAAAGCACATTCATTTAGCGATGATAATCCGTTTCAATCACTGGTATAGTGAAGGTTGTTTAACTATGACGTTAACTAAGCTTTTCTTAAATAATAAACGACAACATCGTTCGTAATTCCATTGTTCGCTCTATCACTTCTATGTTCCAACCACGAATTGTAAGACATTGGACACGGTACCAGATGCAATCAGAATCACAGACATGGAGGTATTAATGCAAAAGAATTTAACGTTAGTACCGCTGAGAAAAATTACTCATACCAACACCTCAACTCTGTTGATAGTTATTAATAGTGAACGGCTCGAGCAATACTGACAATTGCTCGATCCGTGTCGACACCTTACTAAGTTTGGTAAGCGACTCAAAATGCACTGTCTATTCTTCCACGGTAGGGATGAGTTTTGGTTGACGAACTTGTTTAGTGTCTGGTGTTTTACTGAAACGACGTATGTGAAGCTATCAGTTCAAGAATAGGTAATCTAGTTATGAAAGCGCACAGAATTTCGGTACCCCCAAATTCACTTCTACATTACTTTAATTCCTTTTGTAATTCTTGTTTTTTCAATGTGATATGGCAAATTTGGCTGGTGGAAATCTTTGCTAACTAACATAATTTGATGCGAAAAGTCCCAACTAGAGATTTTTAAAAAAATAACAGCCACAAACTTTTATTGGCAACGTCCCCGGTGTTGAACGAACAACAATCATCATGATTAGTCAGCCTCAACATGTGGATCATTCACCGATTTCTGAAATACCAAACGGTATAGTCTGCTCCTTTCAATATAAAAATTCCCAGACAGACATTATCTCATCTACTCTCGTCGTAGTGATGATCAGACCTTTAGTTCTAACCTTGGAAATAGCTGTAATCGTGTACATGAAGCGATTTGAAAGACATTACTGAAAGTAGGCCTTACGATTTTGATCCTTGCATTGCCTCTATATTTCGAAATCCGTCAAAATTTGTAGACCTTTAGGCATCGATGTTTCTTTAGTAGAACCCGAAAACATACTACTTAAAGTGGTTTCAAGATTTCTCAAATATACGAATCGTTGGTAAGAATATTCAAATACTTTGTACTAAGCTTACGTGAACGAACCCATAGGGAGTACGCAATTTAACCCTTATGATCAGATCGCAGACAACGGAAACGACCCGCATTTATATTTGCCAGCTTATTTATTCGTTTAGTAGCCACCGGACACGAGAACTCAAACAGGAACCATGACGCTAGCCATACGAGATTGCACATTCTGGCACCCGACTGGAATGTGATATTCCACTTCCTCAAGTCATATGACTATCTTAACCATACAGTTTACCGCTCACTATCTGGAACTGTTAACATCGTACTTAAGACACTGCTGACAGTAATTATGAGATTTCTCATATGATTAACTGAATAATCAGACATAAACTACGTGAACATTTGGGCAAAATAGGGAGTCACTGTCGTCACATTGGTTTATTAACATGCTCTGTATGTTTATTTATGGTCTTCAGGGAACACTATGATCAAATTCAACCAATAAATTAAACTAACTAAATGCAAACCACCTAACTTGCTGCACATTGATAATAGCATTATGTGAGGGAACACTTTGAATAGAATAAAGCGTACTTTTTTATCGACTTTATTTTAATATAAAAAAAGAGAAAACTGTGGTATCTGAATTTTTAAAAGTTGAAGAGAACTATTCAATATAAATAAATATAGATCATATCAGCCGTTTTACAATTATATCTGCGTTTGATAAGCGTTCACGTTGATGTTTCAAGTAAAAAGCGTTCTTGATCAAAACGATATTGAAACTAAAAAATTTGAAAGCAACGAAAACGGAAAGTGATAGCTTCAATAAGTAATCAGCCATTTATATCAGTTTTCACAATGAAATAAAGACCTAACTGTCGTTAACACTCGACTGCTGAATAAAATTTCTTTATAAATGTGATTGTATATTTGTGCTTTATGAACTACAGATTGAAATCTATTTGTCAGATACCACTGAATATTAAAAAGCCACCTTAGTCAACATCATATTTCGTTTGTTTTCTGAACACTGTATCAGTTTTTTTATAAATACCCTTGAACCTCTAACACTGTTGTTATCTAACATAATACTGCTTAATTGGTATTTAGTCTAATACTTATTAGAAAACATATGTACCTATGAGTTTACAGCTATGGTGAGAAAATAATCATTAGCAGAATAGTTCTGGTTATTGACTGCTCTGACTAGACTTGGACAGAATACGCTGATTGGTCTATTTTTAAACTAGTCAAAACCAACAGACGGATCGACAGTATGATAGAATGTTCTAATTTGAGTTCTATATAAACTGCAATAAATTTATTACTGTACCTATATTACTCAGGTTATTGCAACACATGTTACCCTCTGTCAATCCCTGTTCTGATTTGAGAAGAGTCGAGTAAAGTGTCGGGAAATACTAGATCGTGAGAGAACAACATTAATTGTAAAGAATTACTTTTTATTTAGTCTATTTGTCTTTTTTCTAAATATCTAGATGTATATTTCTGACTTAAAAGAGATATATAAAGTGGTTTTCTAGCTGTTTTACATAGATCATAAGTATGGTCTATACAGGACACTGTGGAAGATTATACCTAAAGTACAAACTCAAAACAGTCCACATATTTACTAGCGAAATATTCTCTACATCCGTATGTGACTACAGATAATATGAACACGCTGTCTACCGAAGACAGATTCCTAGATAATTTGCATAAACCAATATAATATAGGAATTAACTGAGGCATCATTGTTCAAGTGTTTAGCTTTAACTTATGGATAACAATTTTCGATGGACAATTTAGACGTTGCGCAGCTAAACGCCGTAATGGAAATGTTTATGCAAACACCCTATTTATATAAACCATCGAAATTCCGTGCATCGATCGAATTAGCTAATAGACACTGTTACAACAATTAGGAGTTGATAATAGTTGTCTCCTAAGGATTTTCAACACCTGGTGTCAACGATGTACTCGACAATATGTATTAAGGTACAAAGATGATTCAATTAGTGTAACGATCTTGTAAAACAGTATCAGTAGTTTATTTTATGAATGTACTCGGTCACAACAAATACCACGATCAGGAACCAACCATATTGCTTAAGATATATTTAATCCTTGTCTTTCAATAAATATAAAATATACAATTGTCTTACATTCATAAATTTCTCGCCGATTTTTCATGAGCCTTTTTCCCCATGTACATTAATTTTATATCAAACTGGAACGGCAGGAATGCCCAGTTGAAGCGTTACTACATAGTATTGCTGTCAGTTTGTTAGTCCCAGTTATTCACTTTCTTTCAGGTGTAATAGCTCAGTGGTCATAAGTAAAAATGAAATTTAAAAGGTTAATAAATATATGATTTACTGCGGAAATTACCTCAGAATCTATTTCATCAAATGACTTGTACTTTGATGCTCCGTTAGCCTGAAAATATAAGTATACAAATTGTCAATTATATCACTTGTGTTATTGGTTGGGTTTGGGAAATTTCCTCTACTCCTCTCAAGTGAAAGGAATCCAACAGGAAGGTGAACATTAAGGTAAATGGTTTAACGAAGGATCTAAGTAAGAACTCACTACAGTTATATGAAGTAAGCCAACTGGCTAACATGCCTAGATTCAACACGATACGACTAGAAGCTTAGCAATTAAATATACGTGTAATCAACACTTGAGTTTAATTACCTGTTTATTGATCAGTTTTGTGACAAGTCTAAGTAATGGAAAAAGCTGACCATATTTTATTTACTCAACGTCTGATTGTCGGCCTAAAAGATGTCTTCCCTCTATGTTGAATTTGCCAAACATGATGTAATTTTTTTTACATTTTTTTACTTGGAACAGATGTAGGAGAGACAGAGATATACTTCGAAATATACAAGCAAAAAAATCCCTACTTACTCTGTATTCCCCTGGTTCGTCAGTAAGATAACGTTTATTTAATTCGAAAGGAATCCCAGACAGAGCTGAATTATTAAGAAACAAGTGTGAAAATGAATAAATCAAACACTGAAAGCATCATTAAATTTTACATATTCTAGTCATGTAATAAGGTTGCATGATAAAAAGTTATGAAAGATTGTCACAAGTTTCTAAATTCAGTCTCTTCTTCCCTAACATTACACACTGGATGAAGGCACATAATTCAGGTGACGAATGAAAGTAAAACATCAAAACAATACTACAGTGCTATACAACCAGTGAGTTTAAAGGACATTCAAAATAACTAAGAAAGTAATTTGTCATTGTGGTAAATCTGACGAAATAGTTAATACTGAGAATAATTATAAGAAAAACGTACAATCGTGCTTTGGTTAGGATGGACATCTACCTCTATTTTCTGATGCATTCTTTTACACACCACTTATTAGACACTTTATACTTTTAGCTCTTTAAATATTTCATGAAAGAATGAGTAGAATAAGACAAAACTGATGTTGGTTTTTTCAAATTTTGCTGATGCATGTATATATATATATATATATATATATATATATACTAGAGAGAGATGGGGGAGAATAAGCGAATGAGTGAGCAATAAAACACTTGACCAAAGTGAACTGTTATCTACAATCAATTTAAGACTATAATTATTTAGTAATAAAACATATAAGTCGATTGAAACTGCAGTTTTGACGTTGAAGTTCATATCAAATGGTTTAGAATGTAGATTTAATTTTAACTTCGATATTTTTTAAGAAATGACATAAACTGTAGATGGGTTCGTCTTCATGATTAATATTTCATCTTTTTAAATGATCCAAAATTTATGATCAAATTGGTTTTACAACAGTAACAACAATGACAACAAATTTGAGAGAAACAGACAGCCTTCCATTAGATAATGGATTAAATACTGGTTTTATAGTAATTTTATAGTTTTAATTGTGAAACCTTCATTCCACTCTCATTAACTGTTGTTATAGAAAATTTTACCAATTATAAATTATTGTTAATTAATTAGGTATCTATTGCTCTGTTTTATAATTTACATATGACATAGAAAGTTATATACAAATTGTGATCCTGTTTTTCTTAGTGCATCGTGGTAAACTAATGCTGTGAGTTATTGATTCAGAATAATAATAAAATAGTAGAAAGTAACTCGGTTAGACCTATTTTGATTGATTGCTGGGGATAAGAGTTGTGTGAATCAACAAGAGTTAGAATTGCCGATTGAAACTCATTGCTATCGGTTAAAGAGGTTATTGCTTTTATTGAGTGTAAAAACTAAAGCTCGTTAGTAGTGAAGTATATAATCTACTAATCTGGTTAAGTGGGTAATATAAGAAGCTAAATTCATCATGCTTTCCAAAAAGGCTTTTGTTGGGAATATCGAATCTCCAAAATACAATTTATTGGGAAGAAATCAAGTCTAAGATTATGCATTAATTTAGAATGTAATTTCCATTCAGTTGATTTTCGCATAGATCCAGTGTGATCTCTTTTAAATGGATTCAATGAAACTTGTAGCTCAACACAACATTGATTTGTATATACTAATCCTAGATGATTTTCCATTTACTTGAAAACTGTTCAGTTAGACAATTTCTTTGAACATTAATCACGGAATGTAATCAGTGTATAGTGAGATGAATCCGAATGTGAATTTGTTCTTCTTGGGTATCTATCGATAAAGTTTCTGGACAAACTTGAACTTATGTTTCAAGTGAGTGCGTAGGAAAGGAGGGAATAGGAAGCATTTTGTTCACTGTCACTGAAGTTTGAATTGGGAGTCAATAGCTTAGTGCAAAGATGTATCAATTTTCTGAACAAACGGTTTATTTAACTCAATGTTGTCTGAAATGATGATGACGAAGATAATTTTCCGCTTAGGTGTATACTTTTGATGATATTGCGTTCTATGAATTAGGTGTTATAATTGCATAGTCTTCGTTGTCGCTCTGGACATCATCAGCGTCTATTTTATGAAGAATACTCAATGATATTGTTGAGAATGGCAGTGAAAACTTCGTAATTAAGCCATGTAGCCAGAAAAACAACAACATCAAATGTATGCTACCTTCAATTCATTTAGTCACATTATATATTAACGTTAGTGTTTTGAATGACCATCTTCGCTCCACACATATAAAAACACGAACCAAGAAAATTCCAAAAGGTATACGATCAATAATAATATAAAAATTACATACGATGTACTGTTCCACGTCGTGTTGTAGCGAATGCTTCACAAGCTGAAGCGTTGCCTGATGATGAAAATGCAGGTAAATTTGGATACAAATTATTTCTATCTGGAATTGATGGTCGAGATGGAACTGATGGGGGAACAGGTGATCTTTCTGAATTAAGTAGACCAATCTCTGTATGTTTACAATAAATCACAATCGAATTGATATCACTTATGAAACGAATGGGTAAAAAAGATAAGTCGAAAAGGAAAGAAAAAAAGTACAATTACCTTATTACCAAAAAACTATTTTTATTTTCAATGAAAAAGATAGAAATATACCGACATCTAATGGTACTTAATTAAGAACTTTCGTCTAAATTTGAACGAATAGTTTCACAATATTTGGGCGCCGAGTTAATGTGAGACATTAAGAAGGAAGAATGTATTTGTAAAATCTCAGCGAAAGAATTTGAAGTAATTCCAACGTTTCGCCTGGTATGGTACTTAAGAGTATTTATCTTAAGAAATACTAATGGAACTAATCTACGATTTATGATTGTGGACGAATCGACAAGATAGTAGAATATCCTCACTTGAATTCAGCATAAACTTTTGGGTTATTGAAACATATTGTTCGTAGTCAATTTTTGTGCTGATTTGAGAAGAGCCAAGTGAATTATCGTGGTCAGGGAACATTAGACAATAAGAGAACATAATACATTCCAAAAAATATGAGTGAATAAAAATTTGGGGATAACACTTAACTAATTATAAAAAATAAGTAATTCAACAGCTGGTCGATTGCTTTCAATTTCCTCTATACAAATAATCGGTCAATAAGTTTACGGAATACAGAGCACAACTATATCAATCAAAACTAACTATCAATACGAAGGTTGCGAAAAAAAACATCCAAAACTTGCATTACAAGATTTTAATTCTTTGTAATCCCAACAAAAGGTTTGTAATAAGCAATGTCAAACTATTCTATATGCATATTGGATTTTTGTTAATCTCTAACTCATGTGTCAAGCGGAAGTAAGCCATGATTGGTCAATGAACAAGAACAGACGTATCCGGTTACATTAAATGTAAAAGACTATGTTATATGCAAAAGTTGATTCCAATTTTCATTCTGTTTCGATTCCGCTTTTATCACACTGGTTGACTGCCTTGTATTCTATAATAATGAATTCAAGTTCTGGCCTATGCCTAGTTTGTGACCATTGGTCGAACAATTAAGTTGAGTATATCACATACGTAAGAAAGCATTGTGATTTATTTAGTACATTGATCTAGTGTCCAGATTATTGTGTTAGTTCAATTAATCTAATTACCTAATATATAGTGCCCAAAGTGAAATCGTCAACTACAAACGTGCTTTTCCGTTAATACATATATACTTGAGAAAAAAACGTAAATTTAGAAGATATAGAGACTTACACACAGTTGAAGATGGAAACAATTCTCTCATTACATACGATAGCTATCTCTTTAAAAAAAGTCTTATTTCCTGGATAATAATATTTGTATAAATCTTTTTTAGAAATATTAGAAATTCTGTTCGTTGTACGTTAAACTTAGTTAAAACAAAAATAAGGATAAATATTTTTTATATTAAAACAAGATAAGTGAAGATGGTTAAAGTGAATTAAGAATACGTTTAGGAAATGGAAGGCATTTAAATTGATCGGCTGAACTCAACAGTTGAATAGTAAATGAATATAGAAAAATAATAAGTATGTCGTATATTGACTATAGAATTTTTTGATGGTGAAAATCACTACACAAACAAAACTGATGCTTAGCATTGCTATCGAGTTGAAACTAATTAACATTCATTTCAATAATAACAATAAAAGATTGTATGTGCAAATAGAAAGCCTTATAAAATTAATTAATGTAGCTAAGCTGCGAATAACATTCACTTGTATAAACTTGTTTTCTGGGTTCGCAAAGGATAAGCTACCCCGTTCACTTGCCTCCATATGCATCTACCAGCTCTTGTGGAGCAATTTACATAGGCCGTAGCCAGCTCTTGCTTTCAACTTGGATACGAGAACATTCTTTAGTGTGGTTCTACAAGGGTGAGAGGAAAGCAGTTGGAAGATCCATTCTTGAACATCTAACCAAATCTAATTATTCTACCGATCCACATGTTGATTTTAAGGTTCTTTATACAGTTCATCTAAATCTATCTAGATTTCTTCGTATCCGACCCCTCAAAACAGCAGTTCTTGCCATTCATGAGCTCAAGTCTGAACTGTGTGCACAAAAGAAGCATGTCTTATCGTTACCTTGACCTTAATCTATTATTATTATTACTATTGTATTGCATATTTGAAAATATTCCCCCTCTCTCTTTAATTATTCCTTATATCCTCATGATTTTATTTATAATTGTTTCTTATATCATTTCATTTAATTTTACACCTCCATTACCTTTAATTATTGTAATAAAAACATTTAAATTGTTTTACTTCATTCATATTATAATCCGTTGTTGACTTATTAATTTTACAAGACTTTCTATTTGCATACACGCAATAGTTTATTGTTATCATTCATATTACATAATCTAGTATTATAACCTTTTTATTGCATTATGTTTATTCCTTGTTCATATGTCCTCACGGAACTAGTAGTTTAACGAAAAAATTTCATATATGTACAATTGTAGAACTTGATAACAAATTCGTTGAAAAGAGATCCCTTTGCTGAACTTCGTGTTTTTAATACATAAATGGAAATGATATGTCAATTTCTTGTAAATACTGGGTTTTTTTGATCATTTAATATTAATTGAATTTCCTTCAACATACCAAAAATATATTTTTCTTTATAATGGTTAACTGGTAAGATGATCATTTGCAATGTTAGAAAATATTTATGACAAACAAAACATAGTAGATATTTAATATCAATAATAAACTACTAACCCGATACGTGTATAACCAGGAGTTGTAGTACGTGGACGACTGTAAACACCAATTCTGGTAATTGCACGAGAAGTTGTAGAACGTGGTGAAAATTTAGCACAAAGAATTTTCCTTTTTAAAGCACGTTCACCTAAGTGGTAAACAAAGACACGTTGGAAGCAAAAAATGAAGGAAGATCACGATTAATTTATTAATTATTACGAGATAAAAGTCGTCCATCTTAGACAATCAATAAATTGTAAATGTAAGGACTTGTATTATGACCAAAACTACTCACAGTTGGTATGCGATTAACAGTAAGATCCTTGACCCGCGTTACATTTCATTCGGGACTCGTTAGCTGAAAATATACGCCTGCATTGTTGGTATCCACACATTGGGACCTGAACCTAGTACTTTTTGCTTCAAACGCCAAAATGCTCTTCACTGAGCTTTTCAAACCAGTTAGTCACTAGCTTACGCAACGAGTATGAATTTTACTTATAAAGACTTGGATTTTCTTGTTATTCATATTAACGACTTCAATTCATCAGTTTCTTTTGGAATATGTGCATTAACTTGAGTAGATTGCCTCAATATTGCCATTTAATCACAAGTGTTTGATAAAGTTGAGTAGTGATTAGGAAAGATTTCTGGACTGCACTTGTGACTAAATGGTAATATTGAGGTGATCCACTCAAGTTGATGCATATATTCCAAAAGAAACTGATGAATTGCAGTCGTTAACATAAACGACAAGAAAACACAAGTTTTTATCTTGATGGAGTTTTGTTCTCTGAGCTGGATGGTCCCAATGTGTGAATACCAACAATCGGATGCAGGCGCACATATCCAGCTGAGTCCCAAATAAGATGAAACGCGGGTTCAGGATCTTGCCGTTAACCAGATACCAACTGTACTAAACATCAGTAAGTAGTTGTAGTCATAATACAACAACATGATAAGCACAGATTAAGCATGTCAACAACAACAACAAAAATTGAAACAATAGTCACTTAACAAAGAGAGAGATGGGGAGATTAGAAACTATCACCTTGCATAGTTTTACACAATGTACCATCATTTACTTTTTTCAGTCGCTCCTTGCCTTCTACATTATTACTGGCATTTTTAAATCCTTTATGATGAATTGTCATTGGACCATATTATGTATTTCAAGTAGTCGTCTAAAAGAAAATTTTTGCAGCCAAATCGTCCTCGAAAATGAAGTCACCGATAATTGTTAGGATCTCTTAATAGGTCAAATTGTCGTATCATTATTATTCATAGTTGAACTCAGTAGTCGATCTAAGCTATACCACCATCGAAAACCTGGAACCACTATTCGGCCGTTCTGTCCTAGTCTGTAACTCAGTGCGCATCTACGATCCTGAACGGAGGCCTCGAACCCAGGACCTTCGGTCTCAGGCGCCGGCAATGGATGAAGGGTTGCGCAAGATCATGGATTGACTGAAGTTAGGCGATAAAGTGCGAGACCAAAGGTCCTGGACTTGAGTCTCATGAGCAGGATAGTGAATGTGCACCTCTGGGGAGCCCAACACTAAGACATGACGGCTGTCTAGTACTCCCATGTTTTAGTGGTGATATAGCTTAGATCTACTCGGGATTTTAATAGTGAAAATACTACAATCTCTATACTAAAATATTAATCATCAACTAATAATCATTTCCAAAGCATATATTTGTGAACTTAGCTTTATATTACACTTTATGTGTTAGTATTAGTGACATTACCTGATTGTTCACACTAAAGTAGGTTAAGAGATGTTCGAATCTATGACCTTATAGTTGAAGGCTAAGTACTTTAGACATCAGATCACTGAAACAAATCTATGGGCTATTTAAAACTGAAAGTGATATTTTAAATAAAAATGGGTTGGGTAGTTCTTCCAGAAAATTTATTTCAACAGGTTTCTACTACAGCAATAAGTAAATAGATGAGATAAATTTATTTGCACAAAGTTGAGGAGGATTATAATTCCAACCAGATTGGGACTTTTCTGCTCGACTATACTTTGGTTCGAGTTATCGGCTAAACTTACTACCCTGAATTCTGCTATCATTAATTCTTACCAAATACAATATAAAAATGAGCAAAAGATAATATAATGAAATTAATGTTCACCTGTATCTATTGTATTATATATCGCTTGATGATTTGCAGGAATATGTTCACCGTCGTCTACTAGTACCAAATTTACAAGTATTGGTCTCTGTCCAGCCTTATATTGTTGAAGACGTGATAAAAGGATATGATAAATAAAACAATTACATAACATGATACCTACATATATAAGTAAAATTGCGCAAGAATATCCGAATTACAAACTAGATGCCCTTAGATTACACAGTAGTTTACGACCAGAAACATGAAACTTGACAATTTTGTTTCAACTAACACAATGTTCTGCCAGATTATTAAGTAAATAATGTTGAGGACATTGGTACGATGCCGAGGAATTACGCCTAACAGCCAGATCTTAGCTGACTGGCAAGAAGTGACCTACAAGCTAATTTCCTCCAATCACCTGATATTTTATTGTGTTTATTCTGTGTTCATATTCTGTATACGAGCAGGTTATTTTGATACAAAAAAGCTTATTCATCTAACTAGTGGTCTTGTCTGTGATTTCAAATCATTCGTCAGCTTAATTCAATAACACGGTCTCGTGAGTAACCAACATTCAGCTATATATCACTGCGTCTATCTATCGATTAGAACTCTCTTAATAGATCTTAACACTCGAAAATTACGTCTAACGAAATCCCAGAAAACTTTCCTCTACAACAGATATTTATCCTACATCTTCACAAAAACTAGATAGTCATCAAACAAACATCAGCCTTTATTTATGAACGACTAATGTAGCGTTAATTTGAAGGTCTTAACGTCGTAGATTGGTCTCAGCTGGGATAGCAGCGAAAAATAAGAAGTACCACATAGTTGTTTTGTCTTGGTATGAGTACTTAACGGTGCTAACCCACTGCCTTACTATTGATCAAACTCAGGACTGCCAGGTCTCGCGGTAAATGCTTGATCATCAAAACCAATGGATCGATGTCTAATGGCATAATTTCAGCTTCAATCAGCTCGCGTTATAGCGTGAAGATCACCTCATCTCACTGATGACAACTGTTTCACTCCAAACACGTTTAAACTTCACAAAACCCTATCAAGAGTGTTAATTTGTATCTTATTTTCATGCACCAACAGTTTATATAGTTATCAAATACAATAAAAAAATTTTGAATCGTAAAAACGATGAACTACGCTTCTAGTATATGATGACAGGTGAAATGAAAACTCAGCTACCATTAATCAGTCAAGTTGCGCAGTTGGTTATTTAGTTGATAATCGGCAATTATCAGTGTCCTTGTCCACGTTATTTTGAAAACCTAAATAATACAGCTTTATGGACTCTTTAATTGTTGAGGTCATACATTAAAATTCGTTAACTGTTTCCCTTTCAATGAAAATTAGTCTTTCTCATTATCATTCCTGCTATGTTATTCCGATTTCTTTCCTATTCATTTTGTTAACCGAATCTCGTACTAATGTGGTATGGAATTCTGGGTCGAAGTACATTTGTTCCAGGTTCTACATTTATTATAACAGACTGACTGGCAAATTTCAAATATAACACGACAACAGTTCAGAATAGCTTTTACAAAGGCGTTGAGGTAAGTACAGTTTATCAGTCCCCATCTTAGATTATTTAGCTCGACGCTGGTGTCAGATGTCTGATTTTTCTTACCTTTCTCCCAATAACAGATATATTATTACTATTTAATTCCGTATCCGATTTCGCACTGAATACATTACAAAGTGATATAATATCGTTTAGTGAATGATGTTTTAGAAGTGATATTTTCCATCTATAACTATGGTTCTAATAATAATTGTAATAAAAGCCTTGTTCATTATCATAAATTTTGTTGCAGTAAGGTATTCTCAGATTCAGTTGTGCAACATCGTAACAAATCTCTCTTTAACACACGTTCAAATTGTTTTTAAGAGATTATATGTTACAAATGTTATTTTCAGTAGTTAGTATTTTCTGCCTATCTTCAATGTCAAAAATTTACAATCAGTAATCAGGCGATACAGCCGTTTTTCTTCTCATCCATTAAATACTGAATTCATAAGTTCCAATATATTCGTCTTTTATTTTTTAGACGACAGACAAGGAAGAGAATATGCCAACAAGTGTAATGTTTCGGTTTGAGATATTCAGCACTTGAGCCTTTCATAATACTGAATTAATACATACAGTTGGAACTCATAATTATTCACTTCAAGGAAATCTAAGAAAGAAGGCTTATTGCAATATTTCCACAGTTGAAAATTAAGTGGTATAAATGTATGAACAAACCACCTCAGTCTGTGTACATATAGCAAAATATATTCAAAGCATTACTTTGTAAACAAAAATCATGCATTACTTTCTGACAGCGAATAAACAATCTAACATATGATTTCCAATGACATACAACTTTCCGAGTAAGGATTTTATTTTACTTTTGCTTATTCTCTACTAGTTCTTTAGTAATATCTACACCTTTGGTGTTTTTATTTGATTCGCTATTTACTGACTTCAACGTCATTGATGTATACCTATATAAAATGTAGATAGTTTGAACTGATAATCGATATCCTAAATTTTGCTTTTAACTTTAAAACTAGACCACATAAAATGGTTAAATTAGAATATCTTAAACGAAAGCCAAATGTTTTTTTCTGAAAGCCCAAAAGAAATAGGGACCAACCGAATTACTTCAAGCATTGTCATACTACCCTATCAAAAATATCATATTCATTTCTAACAGTATCTGAAATGTGATATATTCTAACATATAGATAAATATGTAATTACAAGTCACAATCCCTGTAAACTGTTAGAATACTTATCTGCTTTAAATAAAGTGCACGATTTTATTTTATTTAAATTAACTAATCACGTTCTTGGATACGAGCTGCACTCCAAATATGAAGGCTAATGATACTCACAATCCAGTTACTCAACGAGTAGGCAGGACGGGTCCGGAACCTGAGAGTTAATGGTTGAAAGTCGGACCCTTCAACCACTGAGACACCACATTTATCAAGACAAATCAATGAACCATTGAACTTACACATGTATTTATATTTTCTGAAACATAACATAGGTATCGTGTACGTCTTGAAAGGAGACTTGATGGCCACAAACAAGCATCATCAGCACTATCTGAAGTTCGAGATAACTAAAAAAAGATTGTAAATATTAGAGCACTAACAAACCACTTGATTTAGAAGGAGTATGAAGCTGGTTTCAGTTAATTAATTGAATAAATGAAGCAAGGTTTATATGATAACAACTTTGTAAAAAATCAAAAGATAATTTCAATGCGATGATAAAAGTGACTTTAGGATGGGACATTTCAGGGTAATTGATGATATGAAGTAAGAAATTAGGTGAGAGTACTCAGACAGAAGTACTTACATTTGAATAAGACTGTTAGATCTTGTATTATCTACCAGAATGCTAAGTGACAAGTACTGATTTTAAAACGTCTGATTTGTTACTTGGATTTGCATTTCCCTATTGTCAACTTAAGTGATGTTCAATAAATAGCGAACCGTTTTCATATATAGCATAATTTTTAAGTTCACGGTCACTTATGGAGTATATTACTGATGACTGGTAAATGAAAACATGGTAATAAGAAAATAACGGGACACAATCAAAATCCCCGATGAAGCGCATCCTCATAAAGCATAATGCTCCCGGCAAATAATCCTACTTGTAGGTGTCATTACCAAGGTTTGATTTGATAATTTCGAATAAATTGAGCATTGGGTTGATTGTTATAAATAAAAACAATATATTTGTAACCTATTAATTAAGCACATGTTTTACGAAGACAACTAAAGCACAATGCATGAGAGCTACTGGTACTACCACGTTGGTCAAACCGTATTAGTTGAAGCGGGGTTCAAATATACAGCCTGCAGGCTGGAACCCAATAGCTTCGACCACAGAGCCTAAGCTCTATAAGGAAAATAACTAATTAGAATATGACAGTAAACTGCTCTCTTCAAGAAAACATATGCGCTAAACCAACCACGGAGGCAACACTGGAAAAAAATATTACCTAAAGCGAAAGTAAATATTACAGAGCTTTCTTGATTCATGACTTTCATGTATTTTAGATGGAGGAGAACAGTAACCAATCAGATTCAATATCGACAGGATAAACCGATAGTTACTTTCAGAGAAATCCTAATAGGTAACTTCATTCTATAGTATTTCATGATTTCCTCTAGAAATACGATGAAAACTTAACAATCGAACTACTTAGTTCATGACACACAGCTTTAACAGGATTGTACATACGTACTTTATTTATGGTTGCAAACGTAGAGGTCAATCATTCATAATGATCAAATACAGCTAACTATGTTTACTTCCACAAAATCCGAACTTTGTAGTCATAAATAATAAGGTCAAAACTAACAACCTACTAGCAACCTTTAACAGTACACCAAGCAATCATTTCCATAAAGGAAGAAAATTGCGACACATCCTTTCCATACGTCTTGTCAACGAAAGCCGACGCGACAACAAAAGGAAATGTTCATTGTAAGCCGGCTACATAAACACAACGTACACATTTTTCAGCTTGTTTCTCATTACAATATGTGTGAAATCTAGTCAAATGTTTGAATGAAACAGTTAAAATAACATGCTCTGATGATATCCTTAAAGAAGAATCAAAACTTATCCATGATTTACCAAACAAGGATACACATATTCATCAAAGTTCCTGACAAAACAGAGACTGAAGATGAAGTAAAATCACCGACAGCACCAAACATACCTTTATTCCCGAAGTTAGTTTAAACTTGATATAGTAGGTGGAATAATTATCTGACATACAAGAAAAACCACAGAGCATTCATTCGATGTAACAAGATCATCCGTTTCCTCTTCCAGTCAACTGATATTGTGTTTACGGAATAAAAATAAAATAACTAGTTTAACAGACTCCACCTCATATTAACAAATTCAGCAGCTGCTATGGGGCCAGGTATATTGTATGTATAACCAGACGAATACATAATCGTATTTCTGGAAATCACCGTTTGTGGTTGACCAAATGACTAAAAAAACCAACCGGAAGTTCTATTCTAAAACACTGTTTGATATTTGGTCACGATACGAGTATAAATTCAGCCGTTGAAGTTACCTGCGGACCCCTTTCAAAATTACCCCACACACACCGCAGAAGTCATCGGAATACAAATCAATAAATCTAGCCTTTGTACGGCCTCTTGATTTACCATGACCTATACGCTCGCTACTAAACTTCTCCAGACCCTTTAGTTTTTTTCTAATTCTTTTCTTACATGATCTGATAATCCAATTTTCTTCTCACCTATCCCATTAATTACTTATTATTAATTCTATTAGTAACACCAAGCATTTATATTCAACTATTTAATTTCAAGTTTACTCAGTTCCTAGTTTTACTGTTATGTAAATAGTCGTGATAATTAACCGACTATGTAATTTCACTTTAGTAATCTGTTGTGTACCTTACCGATTACTAATAATATACGTAGCTAAACTGATCCATCTCCATTCAATCGGTATTAATTTTGTACCACTTGGTTGCAAAACTAATTAAAGAGGGACATTTCTGCACCCAAATCACATTTTAAATATCGGTGTCAATTATTAATACACACTATTAAACTGCAGTATTCCCGAAGTTATTAAATACACTAGAGGTAAATTCTCACATTAGCACGAGTTAAATTGAAAAGATAGGGAGGCGAAATAATATCGACAGCAATGGAACGCTTAACCTCAAGCAATATCGTTTCGATGATTCCTCTATACGCGAGCAACACAGTGAAGCTTCCATCTTACGGCGTAACATAATAACGATAAACACTTACTGTTAAGTAATTATCACCTTTAACACGGTATGAATGATAAATGTACAACCCGGCACAATTATGTAACAACCCTGCCTGGAGCACCTCTGGGGTTACTGACGGTTAGTGAGTCAGCTACAACGTAGGACCACGTACATATATGCATCGGTCCAAGTTGCCATACATCATTGTCACAACAAAGTGAACACCGAATTCATAGTAGTTAATTTAATGGTGGTAATACATAAAAGAAAGATTGCATATAAGGACATAGTAAAAGAAGGAAGAATTAGTTCGTAGAAACAAAGGCGAGACTCTAATTTATGGACGAGCCAATCAGAGGCGTTTGAAGGATTTCAAGGTTACAGCGCCAACTTCAGTGCTTAGTGCTAACGTACGATGGGTTCACAAGGAATTTTGTACAGAACGTGATAATTGAGCGGCTATAACAAATAAAACGACGAGACTATAATTTGTGGACGAATCAATCAGGTATAAGATAACAGATCTCGGATTTAGGCACGAGAGCCTTACATCCATTTGGCTAAATAGATTTCTGGCATTATAGCTCATGTCAGTTCGTGATGAAAACCCTATATATAATTCCTAACTAAGACAAATTACGACAATTATCGCGAACTAGATAATAAAAGTATCAGTAACACTGGCTGCGGTCAGGTACTACAATATATAAGGATGATTGGGGAAACTACAGACTCCTATATAGGCTTGGTTATTTACATCGTGTCGTTATCCACAAGTAGCATTTTGTGTACTCAACAACCGAAGTGCACATAAACAATATTGAAACTATGTGGTCGAGGCTGAAAGAGTTTTTGAGACTTTATCATGGATCCGGAGGCCAACTATTCTGTAGCCGTATGGATGATCTCCTCTACTGCATGCATTACGATTTTATAACCTCTTTCTAACCTTGACAGGTTTTTGAACCACGCATAAAGAGTGTATCCACTTTATTTCCTTGGTTTTGTATAACATATTTTTACTCTATACTGACTGTTTGCTGATTAGCTAATATTTCTCAAGATCGCTTAAGATTCGTTCAAAGGTCGTCCATAAACTAGTCTCGCCGAAACAAAAATATAAAACAATTTTAATCTCATAGTTTAAGGGAACACAAAGAGTGTATACACCTACGCCATTGTGATCGATTCTGAGCCATGTCACCAAGAGTCTCCAACCATTCGCTATGATAGTCACGCGGATCTAACAAAGTAGTTTGCATCTACCAACATGGCTCAAACAAAACGTTAGTAAATTCAAGGATTGATATCACGTTTTGGTTTAAACTTGACATAGTAACTAACTTGCTAAAAAACGCTAACCAGTGTTTACGGATTAAGAATAAACCAACTAGTTCCACAGGCTCCACGTCATATTAACAAATTTAACAGCTCTTATAGAGTCAGCTATATTAGGTACATAGTTTTCAGTCACTCTCAAAATCATCGATACCAACACCATTAAGACCCCAGTGATATTCAAATCATTACGTTTATCTCATTACAACGACAATTCTTAGTAGCCACGATCGAAGTACATTCAAGTCGAGCTTCGTATTGGTGATGGTCTGTTAATGAAGACATAACATCCCGATCCTCCAATTTTTTGGGAAAATTTGAAGCCACAATAAAAAAAGTATTAGGAAATGACCCAAACCCCCAAAATTCTTTCGGGTGTGGGGAAATTCCAAAAATCGTCGGCTAAGTCTTGGATTTTCCCTAGTGTTCTCCAAACTTTGACGAAAACCACGAGTTTTCATATAACTTTAAGGAAAACCTCAAAATTTATTCAGCTTTGGGAGACTAGCATTCCCAAATACGCTCAAGGAAAGAACCAACATTCAAAATGAGCATAAAGATTTACGGCGACTTTTAGTCAGTTGATTTCAATGCTGTATAGCTTAAAACACTTTGTATACTCCAATAATTTTATTAAACTCGAGTGCTTCCTATGTTCGGAGCAAAAAAATGTTGTTTACAGTTGTGAAGCAATGATAACAAAAGTGTTCCAACTTACGACTTCATACTTTTGCTGTTTGGTCCCAGCCTGTGCGACAAAACCAACAGCTGTTATTACACAAGATGAATCCGGATCGGTGCCGTAACTCATCGATGCTCTGTTCCGCTCACTTCAAATCAAGTGACTATTTCAATAAAGTCAATATGATCATGATCAGCTTATTTAAACCAGTTAGTTTGCTTGCACTTGCTTCTTTTCTATTTCAGTGACATTACAGGCTATTAACGGCTTCTGATTGGAATATCCTAGTCACTCGACAGCACTCGACTAGGAGAGTTTGATTATGAGTTTGTATCTTAAAAATTTGGTGGAACGTTCATTGAATGACTTAAAGTTTCCTGTAACTTGCAGTGACTACATGGCTCGGCCATGTAGACGTAGTCAATCTGTGTTAAATTTATTGCATTGTAGACAATTATGTGATTTCCACGAAAGATCTCATAGATTAAGTTTTCACATCATGACATATCTAGAATTTTAGAATTAGGCCTCTTATTGTAAGAGCAAATATAAATGTTCTAATAACGAATAAAGACTACAGTTCCATTTTAAGGAGAAACATTTCGACTACAAAACAGAAGTCATCTAATCGTAATTTTGCTAAAGTTCAGAAACAATAAAAATAATCCAAAAGGCCCTTGTTAAACATTAGATGTGACGTGCCTATTCGATTCCAAAGAAATCCCTGTATGGTTAAGGAAAGTTATATGCAAAGATATACACTACCAAGTGCTTGTCCGAACTTATTATCTTTTAGGTTCACACACACAAAAAATAATGATGCAATCTAAAACGGGAGAATGGTTTCTGTCTCTGTAGAAAGCTTGATTCGTGAATCTTGGCGAAACGGACATTAAGCTTCTAATAAGCTGGTTTGACAGTAAGGCATGCGCATAAGTAACCCATGTACATGTTAAGCTGCCGGAAATAGTGCTAAGGCTTTATCGTGTGCCTTCGGTCAGTTTCTCTTTGAAACTTAAATGGTCACAGCCATGCGTTTCTTCACATTAGTATTGTTCACCATGTGCTTACGAATTTTTCTGTTAAGTCTTAACTGACTTCGGCAGATCAAAGTCTCAAATGTTAGATCTATAACTAATATGACAATCTAAACACGAGTTATTTAAGTCACATGGATGTCAGAATCCTTACAATTCGAAATGTAGTAACAGTCTTTCTGCACAGTGTCAAAAATCACCGTACAGATTGAACTATATCTTTCAACACAACTACAGCACATTTGTCAGCCATTCTTCCTAATGAATTGGAATATTATTGGGAGCAGGGTCTTCTACAGGAATGGTAAGTGTAACACAAGTTTATTTTCATTGCGAAAATCATTTGCATGCCATTTTTGGAGGTTATTTGTAACTTAGGTCTTTGGTTTTCTCAACTTTCTACCACTACTCCACCAATAACGTGATCCCTAATCCAGCCAAAAACCTGGGTAGTTGGAAGAACTATCTGCCTCTAGTCTCCATTCCCAGACTTTTGTAATCTGAAGCCTGTTCTACCGTTATTTATTATTTGTTTCTTTCCTCATTAGAAGTAAGCGTATTTATGCCCTTGTCATGTTTTCGGCTTATCTTTTCTCTTGTTCTCCATTTTTATAGATCTCTTGACTCAATTTACTCCGCTCACTCCGTTAGTACAATAATGCCTTCTGGCTGGACGAAACCCCCTGAAATTTGACTATCAGCTTAAAAACTCCTGATTTCATCGAGACAGTAGCTTCAAAGTAAATTCATTTGCTTGATTTCAAAATAACGTAGAGTCAATTGTGTGGATAAATCACAAAATAATGCAGCCAGGTAGTTTGACCGACTAATCTAAACGCATCCAAAGGAAATCAGAATTTTATGGAACACCATGAAATGAACACTAATGAGTCATCTTGTAATTACTATATTTAACTAAGATATTAGATATCAGATCTTTTGTTTGAACCTATAAATTGGAGAGCGCTGGTTTTTTCGAAAGAGCCCTTGTAGCGCATGTTAGTTCATTATGGTCAGGATAACGTCTGAAATAGTTGAGAATGCTCCACAGTTTACCAACGCCATTAAGGATCGTGAGCTTAGTCTCAGAAGTTACAAGTTTCCTGCGATCGAAAATATGGGGTGTACATTGGATCAGTTCGATACTATTGATCTTTCAGATAATGAAATCAGAAAACTCGACGGATTTCCAATGTTAAAACGTCTAAAGTCATTAATACTTACAAACAACAAGGTAAACTTTCTATTGCTAAATCTGATTCTGAACTTAACTTACTTATGTACCCTTTTTATTCCTGAATGTACTTCAATCGTACCAATTATGTTTTCTCCACTCTGATATAATTAAACACCTATTAATGTTGAACCCGATTTACTCATCTAATCCTTAGTAGTAAGTGATTCGTATCAAACGTCTCCTACGTTCTATCTAAACAGTTTTAGTTGTCTGCACATTAGTCTTCAGTAATAAGGATAGGTCTATCGACCTATATTAACCCTTGCAGTTTAACACTGGAGATCCAACCTGGTTTTAAATCTATCAACCATATATCAGCTAAATAAAAAACTTTTGCTAGTGGTGTTTTCGCTGTCAGATTCCTCATCTGTCGCCTCCGAACTTCTTTCTTGTATACCCCTTCCACACACCCTTCTCTTTAAGTCCGTTGTGTCACGAATTCCCGTCAATCCGTAAACTGTGCAAATACTCCTAGAAAACATAACTCTCTGCCTCTGAGAGGATCCCGTCTACTTTGACAGATGCATATTGAAACCGTCAGTCGTCATTCAAACATGGTACATCCTGTTCTTCTACACAGAAGATTCGACATTGGCGTTTGATTTAGTTCTCGATGTAATCAGTGTCCGTTTATGCCAATAGTTGGTCCAGTTTTTGGTGAGACTGTAACTTATGGACGACCTTTGAGCGACGCCAAACCAACCTTATGAGCGTCTAGTTGATAACCTGGAGCAAATGAGGGTTATAAACCTGTGTGAGGAATTTGAACTTGAATTTACAGTTGGTATTTAAGGTTAGGAATTAGATCTTAGGTTTTCATCACGAACTGACATCAGCTATAATGCCATAAATCTATTTAGCCAAATGGACGAGTGAATTTCACGCCAAAATCCAAGAGTTGCTTGATAACTTGCCCAAATTGATCTCCAATCCAACAATTAAACATACTGACTAATTCGCTAATATTGAAGATCTTATCTATTATTTCAATTGTTATCTAGATGTTAAAGAAGAAGACAGTGTTTACTGTTTATGACGTATATGAGCCTAAAAAGTTATCAAAATTCGTCAAATGACGAACTCATTTCATAATAGTGCACTATACTGGTTATTATATGGAAGTTATCAAATACGTAAAACTGTATATTCTATCCCATGTTACTATAGCAGTACAGATATGGTACATTCATATTGTCAACAGTTTGTGTATGGTATAATTGTATACAAGAATTAGTATTTCATATTATGGGTTTCGGTAGTGAAATACGTTGCATTTCCAATTATAATTCACCTCAACATACGTTATGTTGATCGGCTTAGAGGTTGGTGCTAATACTCCTAAGATGCGAGAAAAAACGACATGAAATCCATCTACAAAGTCACTCTATTAGTGTGAGCCGTGTCAGGTGAAAGGTGCACCGAATGCACTGCAAGTATTTGGAATCTTTGTTACGGCGTTTTGGATACGTAAACTAAATTATCTTGGTAAAAACGCTCCTCATACTTTATCATCTTACATTTGATTGGAAAGTGATACCATAACTTAGGTGTGTGTATCTAGGTATAGTATGAATATTTCATATTCCTGTCAAAAATAATGCAATACTGAAAATGCTCACCCTTAAAGACAAACCACACAACTCATGTTTATTTTTATTGGTTAGTTGTCTTCTGTTTGACTTCCAATAATATGACGTGAACAAAGATTTAGTTAGTTGTATAAAGTCAACATACCGTGGTAATACAATTCAAAAGTTAGAGTTTCAGTCTCATGTTCAATTTTGATCCTGCAGTTATAGAATTCATATTCCTACCCTCTAGTCACGTGCTTTACTTTCATCATAGAAAAATCGCCAAGGTTTTATGAACTTTTTTTTTTTTTTTATTATGACTTTCAGATTGCCCGTATCGCCGAGGACTTGGGTCAACATTTACCCAATCTCTTGACCCTTATCCTAACCAGTAATTATCTTTCTGACCTCAAAGATTTGGATCCTCTGTCATCATGTGAGAAATTAAATTTTCTAAGTCTCCTTCATTGTCCTGTAACAATGCGAGCAAACTACCGTTTATATGTTATCAGCCGCGTCGCATCTGTAAGTCAAATAGTTTAAGTAGTCTTACTGGACCTATTTTTCATAGTTTTGTAAAATACGGTCATAATCGTGAACTCATGTATTTTTGGCTGTAAATTAAATTATCATTATGTGGCCTGTTTATTTCAGTATATGTTTATCATTTTGGAATACACGTATAAATGTACCTACAAAAAGACTATTTATTCTGTAACGTATAAGTTAATGTCCAATCACTGGGTTACTCAGTGTGTTTAGAGCCTGGCCCATGTAGATAAATACCGAGTTGCATAAATTCTAATTTTTAATTATTTAGTGCGTATCTTTTAGAGAATCAATCGTGTTTCTTTATGCTCAAATATCAATTCATTGAGATTAGTTTTAATTTACAACTGCATATTTGGTTATCAGATATCTAGAATACTTAGCCTTAACTAGTAATATTGATCTGTTTTTCAAAGCAGCAGTGTTACCGATGTGTAGACCACTTAAAACTTCTGTAATATTCTGTCACGTGCATTGCAGTTTATTTAAACAGCTTCATTAGGATACATACATAGATTGCATTGGACTGAGTGAATACAATTATATCCAAGAATTTATTTCAAATGTACTATTGCCAAGTACTCTATAATCACTGTTAAGATGCTGCTATTACTAAACGTGTAATCTAACCCTACATATTAAGCTTGGAACTGTATTAATTTTCGTAATACGAATTTTAATGGTTGGGTATGTAATATGTCATCATCCTCTCTACGCTTCGCTTGGCATTTTATTTATTTGATTTAATGGAGAAGTAATGCTGTATCATCCACACATTGTTATTGTTGTTTCCTTAATATTCTGAGTGTGTTCAAGTTATCCAGTGTTTGAAAATATAATCCTTGAAAAAATGGTCGCTGTACGTTTTTTCTTTTTCCATTCTTAGCTTCGCTTTTTAGACTATCGTCGTGTT